GCTCCAAAATCACCAAAAGGGGTCGGTTTAGCACGAAACTTAGCACGCATGATTGCCTAGGCACGAGAGAGTTGTGGGAGAAGATGAGACTCGAATCGGGTTTCTGGTTTGGGAGTTAGGGACGGATTTCTATCTAGCCAAAATTATTTACTTAACTATCTTTGTAATTATATAATAAATAATTTTTTATGTTTTTTTTTTAATTAAAATATTAATACATAATTATATTGTCACTAATTATTTTTATTTTTTATTTTCAGATATTTCCTGAGTAGCAGTTTGCTTCTTGTGGAATGCAGCTGTGTGAAGATTGCGACAAACTTTTGTTTATGAAGAAAACTTTTATTTTTGATTTATGTATTTAGATTTGTGAACAACATTATGTATGTATTATGCAAAATTATGTGGTTTGATAATTTTGATGATGTGTTGTTATGAATGGAAGAGTACTTTAATTATGGATGAAATTTTATTTATATACAGGAATTTTTATATTATTATATAGTTATCGATTTTTTTTAGTTATTTTTATTTAATACAGGTAATTTGCATATTTTTAATAATTTTAAAATTGCATTTTTTGTTAGAAACAGGTTTTTGCGACGGTAGCATAGCCGTCGCCAATGATATTGGCCATATGAACAAAGGTCTTTAGCGACGGTACTATCACCGTCGCAAATAATATTTTAAGAGACGGCTTACTTTTCTGTCGCAAATAATAGTATTAACGACGGTAATAAACCCGTCGCAAATAACCATTTTTAGCGACGGTATTTTATACCGTCTCAATAAACCCTTTTGCGACGGTATTTTCCCGTCGCAAATAACCATATTAGCGACGGTATTTTACTGCCGTCTCAAAAACTTCAGATTTTTACACCTTTACTGCGACAGCATTTTGCCGTCGCTAAAAGGCATCTTTGCCGTCGCCAATGTTTTTGCGACGGCGGTTACCGTCGCTAAAGACCTTTAGCTACCCCGTCTTTTGCGACCCCCCTACTACCGTCGCTAAAGGCAATTTACCGTCGCAAAAAAGCATTTGAGACGGCTTCTTTGGTATTGGCGACGGTATTTTACCGTCGCAAAAAAACGAATTTTTTGTAGTGAGGGATATACATGAATAAAGCTAAAGCTTGTGGTTAGTGGACCTTGTAATTCACTGAGAGATACCCATTTTCTATCCCTTTTAGTTGTCATGTAATTCAAAAGGGATTATATTATTGTATGAAAAGTTGGCATCTTGAAAGTAACTAATTTTTTTTTAAAAAATGTTAAATGTAATTTAATTTGGGTAATTTCACTTTTCATTGCTACGCTTGGCTTCAAATTTTACTATATCTTTGACATTTTAATTGTTCCAATTAATTCTTTAAATTTTCAATTAAATTGTAATTGAATCCATTTGTGTAATGCTATTACAAAAATTAACAGAGAATAGTAAAAAAATAGTATTAATTACACTTAGTACCTTTGTAATTTTACCAAAATTTTACTTAGTCCAACCACTTTTGTTTTTAGCACGCTTATACAAAAATTCCAGTTTAGTCTCTCTGTCAATTTTTGAAATGAAGTTATAAGACTAGGCCAATTGCTCTTGAAATCTACGGGATAATTACAAGACTAAGGGGCAAAGTGAGTCTAGTACATAAGTATAAATTGAAATTTGCCCTACAGAGTTTCACTCATGGATATAAGTGAGTGAGCACGCTTTCGATTGCATTGTGTCTAACACTAAAAATAAGTTGAAAAATGAGATTATGTATAAGAGCTTGTGAACATACCCATGTTCATTTTAAAACTTATTTTTCAAACCCAAACAATTTTAAACCTATTTCTCAAAAAGTGCTACTAATAGCTTCGACTTAATTTCTTAAGATCTCTTACTTCTTTGAACTCCCACCACCAAAGTTTCTCTATACCTTCTTTTTCTGTAGACACCGAACATAATCCCAAAACTACCTCAATATTTGGACACCCACTCTTACCACAGGGGGCCACGTAGCTAGGGTTTGGTAGAAGAAGATGGAAGAGGAGGTGCAACTAGGATTTTCACTGTGAGATAGGGTGTTAAGGGCGATGTAGGTTGCAGAAAGGGATTACAAGAGGGACAACGATAATAGAGATGGTTTGTGGATGGTGGAGAGGGATTCGACAGAGAAGGTCGCCAAAGTTAGAGGATGAGTAGGAGCATACCACCGGAGATGGGGTAGGGTTTGAGGGGTTAGGGTTTGGGAGGTTAAGGGTATGGACAAGATAGAAAATAAATAAATAAAAGAGATGAGGATCCTAAGAAATTAGGTGGGACATATTAGTAACAGTCTTTCTCAAATCTTTATCGTTTTGTGAAGTCATGTTTTTAAACCACCACTTTAAGATTGAAGTTGCACGACTTCAAGGTTCAATTTATCATTTGAAAATTGGGTTTTAAAAATAAGAAATAATCTATTCGAGAAATTTAAATTTATTTTTAAAATACATGAAATTTATAAAGGAGTTACAGTGTGCTGTTTGAGCCTGTGAGTCTACTTCAAGCTCCGTTTTGATGATCCAAACTACTCATTTTGTTGGGTCCTTCGTATATATCATCCATACACAAAAAAAAAAAAATTGTCGATTTGATAATTGTAAACTATTCAATATACCACGTTTATCATTAAAAAAATAGATGGCCTTGGGATCAACCTGATTTTTGTATAAATGATATACATGAAAAGTCTAATAAAATGAACGGTTTGAATTATTGAAACAGGATCCGTGGTAAACTCCATTAACCTAAACAACACCTTGCAATAATCTAAATTGAAGAGAAGCATACTTCTTTAAAAATAACTCTTAGGGTTTATTTTACTTTCTACCCCTAACATTCGTCGTACTTAAAATCAAGCATTCGGATCCTCTAGAGTGAAGCTCTCTATAGTGTGTAATCAAAATGATGTCATTTTGATCTAAATGGCGTCGTTTTGATTAATGTGAAAAACAAAAAAGAGAGAAGACAAACAAAACTTGAGAGTAACGTTAGCACCACTAGAGCTATCTCCAACCATCTCCTCTTTCTCCTTCTTCTTCTCTCATCTTTTCCTTATTATTATTTTATTTTTCTTATTCTTCTTCTTCTTTCCTCTTCTTTCCTCTTCCACCTCATTCTCTTTTGAAACCCTAACCCTAGATCCACTACCACCACAAACCCATATCATGATCCACTGCCGCTGCCATCATCGCCTACCACTACAAACCCAAATAGTGACTGTTATTGTTCGCCGTCTGATTCCCCCATTTTTCTCCTCCTCTTCCTCCTCATTCTTTTTCTTCTTCTTCTTCTTCTTCCTCCTCCTCTCCCAAAACCCTAACCCTAGATCTAGATCTATTACCGCTGCAAACCCAAATCCCGATCGACCATCGCTGCCATTACCGTCCACCACCGCAAAACCTAGATCACACCTGCTGCTACCATCACCACCTACCACAACTCTCTGAAAACCCTAGGATTTTGGGAGAAAAAGAAGAAGAAGAAGACGAGGATGAGGAAGAAGAAGAATAGAACGAGGAGTTGGCCGTTCTGTCTAATCTATCTATCTTCTTCTTTTTTTAAATATATTAATCAAAACGACATCGTTTTGATTCACTCCACACACACTCTAAAGAGCTTCATTCTAGAGGATCCAAACGCTAAAATCGAATTTGACTTGTGTACGCGATGCCTTTAAGATTAGAAAATTCTACTTTATCTTTCACATTCTTTGGTCTTTTTAGTTTTGTTAAATAACAAACTTCATATTTTAACGGTTATTTTACAATATCCATAGATAATAAAAATCATTTTTAATATATAAGATATTGAGAGGGTGATTTATGATCTGGAGTTGGGCCGAGATATCGACCCAACAGGTTGAAAGCCCAGCAGTGCATTGGGCCGAGATGACCGACTGTATGCCCAGAGAAGGGCTGCCAGAACTTGGGCCGGGTAGAGTTCGAGCTGTGTGTGCCACCCCGGACCGGACAGAGACTGCTCGGCAAGGCAGTGCTCGGTCGAGCCAGGATGCTCGGTCCGAAGATGGCCGAAGCCAGATAGGCCGAGCGACCGGCGCCCTGGAAGGCGCGGACATCCGAGGAAGTTGTCTGACCGGCAGAGAGGTCGACCCCAAGAGGCACCTCGGGCTAGGCTTTGCCGAGATGCCGCCTAGCCCGGTCCTCCTCAGCCTTGGCCAGTGAAGTGCTAGAGTAAGGAGCACGGCATAGCACAACGGATAGGGCAGCTCGGCTGCCGAGCTCCAGCTGTGATGACAGGCAGTTGAGGTTAGGTGGTGAATGGCATGGTTTATGCTGACAGATGGGATAGCAGAGCCGTGTGTCAGGAGATGACTGGGAGTGGTTATGGGGCTCAGAAGGTATATAAGTATGCCTGCGCCCCCCATACGCAACACGAACACATCTGTAAGGATTTCTTACACTCAAACACTCTCTCCCTTCTCTCTATCTATCCTAAGGTGTGTGCTAACTTGACCGTCGGAGGGTTTTTCCGGCCACACACCGCCGGGTAGCTCACCATTACTTGCTCGCAGGTGATCGGACATCGACGGAGCTCGGAAGAAAGGAATACGGGCTTGCCGGAATATTTGCTCCCCGTACATGTGTAGTTTTGCGTCTAAAACGATGACAATTTTGAGTTATTTGAATCACACTTTTTGTAGTGTTAACATGTATTTTATTAGTTAAAATATTAGGTCTAATCAGTTTTTTTTCTCTTATTGAAGTCATCTATTATCATTGGGTATATCCATTTTCTGTTTCACATGAATCATTAGATCTCAATTTATTTATTTATATATATATTTTTTTGAAAATTACAGTTCAACATCTTCACTCTCACACAGATCTCATTTCCTTTCCAAGTGGCTTTGATTTTGCTTTCATGGCCGGTTAAACTTCTCCCTCTCAAGCCTTTGCTCTCACACTACATCTCTCTCTCTCTCTCTCTCTCCAATCTATGTCTCCTCTGCATCACCATTGTGTTTATACATACTACAAAGCCCACAACCACAAGTAGTCCCATCTTCAAAATCTTAGCATTCACATTACACCAATCTCTCTACCTTTCTCTGTAAAAATTTAAATCTTTATCTTCTTTGCAACACCATTTCTGTGATTCTTCAACAAAAAATTCAATCACAATGACTTCACAAACACCCAAATCCTCCAAACCCTCAAAATCCCAAACCCAATCCCCTTCAAGATCATCTTCTCTCTCCTCCCACCTTGCCATGGTTGAGCTTAAGCATAGAATCCTCACTTCTCTCTCCAAACTCTCCGACAGAGACACCCACCAGATCGCCATCGAAGACCTCGACAAGATCATCCAAACCCTCTCTCCTGACGGCGTTTCGATGCTCCTCAACTGCCTCTACGACGCCACCGCCGACCCCAAACCCGCCGTCAAGAAGGAATCGCTCCGCCTCCTCGCCGCCCTCGCCGCCGCCCACGTCGATTCCACGGCCACCCATTTGACGAAAATCATTGCCCACATTGTGAAGAGGCTCAAAGACTCTGATTCGGGGGTTAGGGATTCGTGTCGAGATTCGATTGGGGCGCTTTCGAAGCTGTATTTGAAGGGTGAGGGCGATAATGGGGGTTTTGGGTCGGTTGTTTCGCTGTTTGTTAAGCCATTGTTTGAGGCTATGGGTGAGCAGAACAAGTGGGTTCAAGGTGGTTCGGCAATTTGTATGGCGAAGATGGTGGATTGTGCTTCGGACCCGCCTGTTGGTCCGTTTCAGAAGCTGTGTCCTAGGATCTGCAAGTTGCTTAACAATCCTAATTTCTTAGCAAAGGCTGCTTTGTTGCCCGTGGTTTCGAGTTTGTCTCAGGTGGGTTGAATGCTGTGTTTTTAATTGTTTGTGAGTTGTTTTCAAATTTCAAATTGTTTGAGTTGTTTTCAATTTCAAATATGCTGCTTTTGTGGTGTCAAATCTGATGGTTGAATTGAGTTTTGAACTTTGTTTAGTTGGCTAGGAATTAACAGTCCGTTTGGATAGATGGATTTGGTGAGAAAAGAAAAGAAAAATCTTTCACTTGTTTGCATGACTAATAGATGAGAAATGATGTGAAATGGTGAGAAATATAGCTCTCTTAAAAACACTGTTTCGATTCTCACCAAAAGATTTGAGAAGCTGGAGTTCTTACATGCTAATAGCCAATTTTAGATGATTTATTTTAAGCCGTACTCCATTATACGAAGAAAGTGAGAGGGGTAGCAAGATTGGGTTCTTAAGATGAACTGTCTCATATTTGATTTTCTAGTTTTACTTTAAAGCTGTGTAATTGCTGAGGTGTTTTAGTAGAAGAAAATGAATTGGATTCTTGACTTGAATTTGATGATTCAATGATATATATTGTACCATCTGCCATGTTTGAGTGCTGAGAAACGATGGTATAAAACTTGGAATCTTGATATCATATGAATTGAGTTTTACAATCAATTGAAATATATGCTTGGTTTGCTTGCTGAGAAAATGTAGGTGAAGGGAAGAAAAAGATGGTGTGTTTGTTAGGTAGTCACTTCAACCTAATCTGCTTTGAGATTGAAGTTTGTGTTTACATTTATGGTCCTATCGTTTTCACAACCAAATGGATTATTGGGTACTTTAATATTATTTACAAAGTATTATCAAACCTCAATATAATTTCTGTGAGTCCTCATTAATATTGTTGGACTATTCAGTGTCAGCAATCTGTCAGCTTTCATTATATAATTCAGGTGATTTTTTATTTCAAATTGATTATAGTATATAGTTGACTACACTCAGATCCTTTATTTCTATAATTTATTTCAAGAGGATTTCAGTTTTGAGAGGCTCTGTGCCATTTAATATATAATTTTGAAGGCCTGATCAGAAATCAGCAATGCATGTGTAAAAAACTCAATCATGTCAAGGAGAGCACAAACCGTGTACCAATCCTGTGATCTTCGTCTTTAATCGGAGTACAAACCATATCCCAATTCACCGGGTGATATTCGAACTCCTTTCCACTAAGAAAGAAAGGAAAATGTTAGAGAAGTTGTCACTTTAAGTGGAAACTAGATTGAAGGAATAATATTAATAACTCAGTTAAAACATAAAAATTTGATTAGGGCCGTCCAATAGGAATCTCCTTTGTTATCTAGGACAAATCACAAATAGCAGTATTGATATATTTACATATCCAACCTTGCTACAAGTTTACAACATTGATATTTTTATGTACCAATATCTGCCAGCATTGTTTTCCTACCTCCATCTATGTTTCTTTTGTTTCTTACCGCCATGTATATTGTACATTTTGTATGAGATAGCAAAACTTATTTGAAACTGAAACCATTCATCAGTAGCCTAGGTTGTATAGAAGCTCTTTTAGATATAAAACGTACTCAAATAATGTTGTCAATTTAAAGCTTCTTTATCAAACACTTCCTGTAGGTAGGGGCTATTGCGCCACAAAGCTTGGAGCCATTGCTGCAAAGCATTCATGAGTGCCTTGGAAGTACAGATTGGGCAACACGTAAAGCTGCAGCTGATACATTAAGTGCTTTAGCGTTACATTCAAGCAACTTGATTGCAGATGGAGCTACTTCCACGGTGACAGTGCTTGAGGCTTGCCGCTTTGACAAGGTACTTAGAATAATTTTTCCTCTAGATAATGATCCATTTTAAAGCCCTCTTGCTGTGATGCATGTGTCTATACTTACAATATCTACAGTTATCTCGTTTCAGTTTCATTAAAATTATGATGCTAGAAATCTTTACATGCGCCAAACACCTGCCTGTTTTTTTTGCTTGTACTTTTTCCAATTTTGGCTCATTTTTGCCCCTTTTGCAGATTTTTTTTGAAATGGCTGGTCATTTCCCCCACGGTGGAGGTCCTTCGGACGCCGGAGGTGATCCCGATATCATGGCTCTACCTCCGGGGGTTCGACCTTTCATACCCGAGAGGTACGAGCCACCGGCACACATTCTTCCGCGGGCTGTTTTCTATCACTTCACCGATTTCGACGAGCGAGCACCCGGGGATCTCCTTCTGCGGGAGCCAGAGTATCACCTCTCCCATGAGGCACGAGAGGTATTTACTTCATTTTTACCTTTTCTGTAACATATTATGAATTTTTCATGCATTCTGTTTGCACTCTGATCACACGGTTCAATCACTTGAATTCCTGAACACTCAGCCCATAAATTGATTGTGAACACACGGCACACATCGGTTGAGGGTTGAACACGCAGTCCACACACATATTTTCTGAACACATAGTTCGAATTGAAGGTGAACATGTAGCACACATTGATTGAGAGTTGAACACGTAGCCCAAAACATTGATTTTCTGAACACACAGCCCAAATTGAAGGTGAACACGCAGCACACACTGATTGAGAGTTGAACACGCAGCCCAAACACTGATTTTCTAAACACACAACCCAAATTGAAGGTGAACACGTAGCACACACTGATGGAGAGTTGAACACGCAGCCCAAACACTGATTTTCTGAACACACATCCCGAATTGAAGGTGAACACGCAGCACACACTGATTGAGAGTTGAACACGCAGCCTAAACACTGATTTTCTGAACACACAGCCCGAATTGAAGGTGAACACGCAGCACACACTGATTGAGAGTTGAACACGCGGCTCACTTACTTTACTTTGCACGCAGCCTATTCATTTTATTTGCACGCAGCTTATTCATTTTATGCTGAAACATGTGTTCATTCTGAATGCAGGTGACATCTCGCACTGTGCGGGGATATGGCTTTACCGCGGTGAGAGATTGGTATGCCGAGCTCCCGGAGGCTGTTCGGGATTTGGTTGACTTGGCGGGGTTTGGGCCCTTCTGTACTGGGCTATCTCGTTGTCCTGCCAGGAGGATGTTGATGGCCGCCTTGGTAGAGAGATGGTGGGACACGACCAACTCCTTCCATTTTTCTGCCACGAGGGACTTGACTATGACCCCGTTTGACTTTGCTGTATTGACTGGCCTTGACGTGGGAGGTTGGCCCATCCCTTACGACGAGGACATGGGCCAGTGGGAGGCTGCTTGGATATATTTGCTGGGGGTTCGCCTGCCTGTTGATAGATCTTCGGGGAGAGTCTGATACACCTGGTTCTCTTCCCATTTCCGGCGGGTGGAGATGGAGCCCGGGACTCCTAAGGAGGCAGCGCAGTATGCCCGCGGCTTTCTGATGTTCCTCTTCGGGACCACTTTGTTTGCCGACAGGGGGAACACTGTTGGGCTTTATCTGTTGAGTGCTTTGGTGGACCTGTCACAGGTTAGACGGTATGACTGGGGTGGCGCCGGTTTGGCTACCCTTTATTGCTACATGAGCGCGACCTCCCGCGGACGGAAGGACTTACTCGGCAGCTATTGGAGAGCCTGGGAGGTATTTTCTGCCCTCTTGATTTACATTTCTGCTCCTCATTACTTGCACATTGCACACACGGCGCACTTTATACTCTGTATCGTGCACTTTGCCCTCAGCACTTCGTATTCTGCTTTGTTTTCCACAGTTGTGGGTCTATGTGTATTTCCCGACATTGGCCCCGGAGTTAGTGGTAAAGGGACATCTCGTGACCCCGTACTCACTTGTATTTGAAGGCCAGCACCGGCCAAGACCTCAGGAGTCTCTCCTTTATCTGCGACAGTATTTCGACACGGTGCGGTCGACGGAGGTACTTCAGAACTCTCAGTTCTTTCTGTTTTCATCTTTGATTTGTCCTATACATTTTTGATTTCTGCTTGGTTTATGCGTCTATTATCCGCAGATTACATGGCAGCCCTGGGCGCCTTTAGGTGAAGGTCTCCGATTCCAGTTTGCCGGGGGGTGGGGTGCCTCCCGGTACAGGCTCTTGTTCGAAGGGCCGGTTGGTAGGGCCTGGTTTTTGGGGGATCGTTTCTTGCGTCAGGTTTGGGGGTACACTTCTCAGGACCCTCCCTCAGCACCCCCAGTCGATATGCGAATTGCTAATAGGCTCTCTTCCCGGGATGTTGTTAATGCTATGCTGGGTACTGATGCTTTGCTACATCTTGAGGAGGGGGATTACGCTACTTATCATCACATATACCTGATGCCTCCATTGACGGGAGTTCGTACTCCGACGATGAGGCCTGCCGGCATGCCATCTTCGAGCCAGGCCCGGGCTCGGGCTGCAGACGCCCCTTCCACCAGCAGGGCTGGTACATCTAGAGGTGGGGGTGGAT